GTGCACTGGGGTGAAGTGCGGCCAGAGGCAGGTCACGGGTCCCCCTGAAGGATGTAACTTATAGGGGACAATGGTGAGGAAGGAGGCCTGGGTGCCGGGGCCCCTCTCCAGCACCCACGCTATACCCTCACTTGGAAACATCCGCTATGTGCATGTGTCGAAGCTCCACCCACAGATCGTCGTCTTCATCCAGGAGGACAGCCTTCTCCCGGGACTCACTCAGTCCTGTGGTCTCATACCTGGAGGGACAGGACATGTTGGAGGACAGAGGGCCGAAGTCGGCAGAGGACGGGTGGAGGGCATCTTCCTGGACCTGTCTACCTGTATGTGTCCTGTTCGATGTCCAGAAGATCGTAGGCCATGGCTTGGAATGTGAGCTCGTGTAACAGGGGAGACACGGGGTCTGCTGCCCGGTCCATTATGAGCAGCTGTGAGCGTGTTTTCTCTGGGCCCTGCACAAGGAGAGAGAGGGATGAAGACACTCACCGGGACCCTACCAAGCCTCCCTGGCACCTCCCCAGCATCCCCCTCACCTCGCCCAGACTGGGAGTGTCTGCCTTGAAGGCATTCAGCTTGGCCAGGACTGCATGGGCCAGCTGGGCTGTGTCTTCTGGACCCCTGGAGGTGATGCAGTCAGACACAGTGGCGTCAGGATGTGGGGGCTGGGAGGACAGGGCACAGACTGGGGACATCGAGGGTGGGGGTGAGGACGGGGGTTAGGGGACAGGGTGGGGATCAAGGCTGGACACAGGAGCCAGGGAGACGGTTAAGTCGGTAAAATGACTGTCATGTTAGTGTGAGGTCGGCTTCCATCCCCCAGAATCCACGCTTTAAAGGTGTCCTTGAACCTGCAGCTCTGGGGAGGTGGAGACGGGGTCCTTGGGCCTGGCCTGCTAGTCTGGTCAAATGCAGAAGCCCTGGGCCCAGGGAGGAACCCTGTCTCAGAACCATGGCTAAGTGGTTAAAGGCTCAAACTGCTCTTCCAGAGGACCTGAGCTCAGCTCCCAGCACCCACATCCAAAGGCTTACAGTCACCAATAACTCTAGCTCCAGGAGGTCGGCCACCCTCTTCTGGACTACGTGAGACCCCACACATGCACCCATACAAACATATACATAATTATTTTTTTAATCTTTAAAAAAATTAAGGTGGATGGTGACTGAGGAAGACACCTGAGGTGGACCCTGGACCTCCATACATACACACATGCACACACATGAACACACGTGCACACTCATGAACACAGGCAAACACGGGGAAAATGGACACAGCATGAGAGTGAAGGTCAAAAGGTAGCATTGGGTTGGGGTGGGGATGGATTCCCACTTGCGGTAGCGAATGGATGGGTATTCCTGAAGGGTGGCACATAGTGTGGCTATCTGCTGGGCCAACGCGTCAAGCTGCCGTGCGCGCTCCCCTGCCCGGAATGGGCAGTAAAGGTTGTAGGTGCTGTGTGGGGCATCCAGAGAGAACACCTGGGAGGGCAGAAGTGTCATGACCATGCTATGGGGTACCCCACTTCCAACCGCTGTCCCTGCCTCTCCCGGGGGCCTCCGCCATCTTTCGGCACCTGTTTTGACAACTTTGAAGCAGGTTAGGTAGGGTAGCCCCGGCTAATGGCGGAAGGGAACAGAGCTAGCTCCTTGTTCCCTCCCACTTGGGGGAATGAGACAAGTCTGCCCTGTGCTCCATGCTGCCTGTGAGTAATGTCCGAAGGCTGGCACTCCAGGCGAGGGCCTGCTAACTGTCCACTCCCTGCTGGTGCTTTCTGTTCTGGACGGCCCACCCCTCCCCACCACAAGCTGGGGCTGTACCTGGGCCTCGTAGGGAAGGAAGGCGAGGTGGATCTCTTTCAGCGTCTTCACCACCTTCGCCAGGCGAGAGCGGCCCAGTTCGCTGAACAAGGGCTCGGGGCACGCTGCGGTTGGCAGGGAGGGCCCATCAGACCAACGTTCTGTCACCACACTGCCCCTCTTCACAGCACCCAACACCCCTGGTTCTCCTCACTCACTGTCAGTGAAGAAGACGTGGGCAGCTTTGTAGGTGAAGGTCGGTGTCCCCCGGAAGTCTGCAATCAGGGCCTGGACCGACTGGGGAGTGCAGATTACTGTTGGAATCAGACCCTGCACCCAGACCTGTCTTCTGCAGGGGATCCCCATCTGATGCTTATCCCCCACCTTGTGCAATTGTGGGAGGGCTCACATGCACACATACATTGACAGATGCATGTGTTCTGACATGTACACTCAGGCACACATACACACATATACATTCTGACATGTGAATGCACAAATGCCTGCAATCTGAAAAGTGTACACACAAATTCTGGCATGTGCACACATAATGCACAAATAGCATTCTGATGTATACACACTGACATGTGCATGCGTGTACACATGCATTGTGACATGTACATATGCATACTCAGCATATATATGCACTGGCACGTGTATACACATATGCACATATATATATACATGCATTGACATATGCATACACACATGTGCATTGTGACGTGTGCATGTATGCATCGTGCGTGCACACACATGCATTATGGCATGTGTCTGCACACTCAGATACATGCATTGACATGTGCACCATGCAAGTTCACACAAACCCAGGCACACACAGTCTAACTCCTGTAGGCACCTTCTCCGTGGGGCTCAGCAAATAAATGGCCTCCAAACTGGGAATGGGTTCTCGCCGTTTGTTGATGTCTTCCACAACTAAAAGCAACCGAGGAAGAGACACACATGGGTAGCATGGAAACAGACAGGGGAGTCTTGGGTTTGGGGAACCGGACTCATGGTGGGGGTGTTTTAAAGGGCTGTACTACTCCCCTGGATTCCTAAACAGAAATCTATACCTAAGGTCCCCCCACTTGAAGAGCTACAGAGTCAGGGTGCTACACATGTGGAGGAACACAGCCATACTCTTGGGGTCTAAATACTCTTGAGAACCCAGAGTCGCTGGGCAGTGGTGGCGCAGGCCTTTAATCCCAGCACTCAGGAGGCTGAGGCAGGTGGATCTCTGTGAGTCCTGGGACACCCTGGGATACACAGAGAAACCTTGTCTCAAAAAAAACAAATAGAAATAAATAAATAAACAAAATAAGAGAAAGAACCCAGAGTCCACCCACGCTCCTTACAGAGACTGCTGGGATTATAGACATTTGCCACCACGCCCATTTCATGTGGTGCTGGGGATCAAACTCAGGGTTTTGTTCATTCTGGGTGAGCACTCTGCTAATGGAGCTGCACCCTCAACCCAGGGTGCTGAGCTGGTTACAGTCAATGAGGCTGACCCCCTAGGGGCTGCAATCAGGAAGTCCTACAAGGACTTGAATGCACAGAGAACACACTTGGCCACATGCTCTGCACTCTGTAGGGAGAACTATGTGCGAAACCAATCTGAAGGGCTACACCCAGAGGCCCCACATCAAGGGGTCCCACACTCAGGTTCGATCTGGGGAACATGGGCATCCACTCACTGGTGATTCCTTCCGCCAGGATGTCTGACATTTTACAACAAGATGACAAGATCCGCATGCTTGGGTGATCCATGATGAGCACCTGTCCAGATGGATGGACACACAGACGCATAGAAAGGTGAGCCATGCATCTACCCAACCCAAGCCCTGTGGACCAACAGCTTCTTCGAGGAATTACTGAGGGAACCCTCACATTCTGGGGTCCCTGCACAGACTTGGGTAAAAGACCGCCTCTGAGTACCCAGACATGTGTCTCAGCCCCTACCTTCCACTCGCCATCCTTCTTAACGCTCCGGATGACACCACTTAGAATTTCTACAGGGAAGGAAGAAGGGGAGAAGAAGGTTTGTGACACTTGTCCTCTGAGCTGGACCCCAACCCGGATCCTGAGTGGCAGCTCCTGGTATCACCTCCAATTTACAGATAGTCAAACTGAGGTTCTGTGAGGTCGGGTAATTTACCCAAGCACCCTCACGTCTAGATGGTACAATGCTCAGAACCCAGGTACATCTTGGAGCACTGAGTGGATGGCAGTGAGGGCCCCCTGGTGTCCCTTAGACTAGAACGCTTGGTTCCCAGCCCTGAGGGTTCTTAACCTCCAAGCCTGTTTCCCCCATCTCCCACTGACCCTTGTGCAGGAGAGGTTCCTTTCTAACACCGAGGTACTGGGCCTTTCCACAAAACCTGTTCTGCCCAGAGGTAGGAGTAGGGGAAAGGGGAGAGAAAGGTAGCCTTGTCCAGAGCCTGGCCAGTGCACCAGAGTGTCGAGTCCAGTGTTATCAGAGCGGAAGAAGTAGCTGAGGCCGGAACTACTGGAGGTGGGGGAGGGGAGTCCTCAAACCCTCTTCTCCCACCAAGAACTTGAGCCTGAAAGGCGGAGAAGCCAATCCTCGAGCTGCAAGGAGCTCCTAGGCACGCTGCAAAAGGGAGAGCGTCCCCTTCTCCACCTCGGTGGGGAGTGTGCACACCCCTGAGTGCTCACACACTACTTGGTGTCGCTGACCAAGGCACTGTAGGACCTCCGGAGTCCAGCCCCTCAACATTCCGGGTTCAGACACTCGACAGGCTGCAGCTGGGGCAGGCCCGGGGGTCTAGACTCGAACCCGTGCCTCCCTCCCCTTGCTCCTTGGAGTCCTCTGCGTCCCCACTCTGTTCCGCGGGCTGCATTTGAGGGGCAGGCAGCCCAGCTGGGCCCGAGTCCCCCGCCCGTCCCCTCGAGAGTCAGGTGCTCTCCCCACCGTCAGGGTCCTGGGGTCCCAGAATCCGTGCACCGCCCTCTCCCGAGGCCTCCAGCCCCCAAGGGACAGCCGAGGGAACACCAGGGCCCCGCCCTGGGGTGACACTCACTCTCCCCCACCACCGCCTTCAGCCCCGAGGGCGCCATCTTCCCCCAAGGAGTACGGCCGCTTCCGGGTCGGTCCCAAGGTGGGGGCGTGGCCCGGCCCGTCATCCACGTGGGCCCCACCCCGCGGGCTCGGGTCCCGCCCCCTGCGCACCTGGTCCCGCCCCGCGGCCATCGGTTCCCCGTCTCCGGGAAACTGGGTCCCAGCAACAGCAGATTGTTCCACTTCAAGGGCAGGTGCGCTGACAGGGGCCCAGACGGACAATCCCCAGTCGGTGTGCGCCCTCGAGGAGTCCTTCGTGGGAGTTTAAGTGCTCCCTTGCTCACACACATTGAGATCAGTTTGCTCAGCGCGATGGCAGAGCAGTAAAAATACCCGTCTCACCTGGGTACCAGTACCACCCAGAAGTTCCTCCGTCTGTGATATAGTGTGCCCACTCAAAGGACAACGGGGCCTTGGAGATCTGGAACTGTTACAGCTGCCCTCTGTCATCCGAAGACTAGTAGCACCAGAGTGGGCAACATTTGGTAGCCTCCGGAGGCCTGGAGACCCCACCAGGTACTAGGAACTTTTCCTGTGCAGTTTTCTTACAGTCTTAACCTTCTGTGAGAGACCCGTGCTGAAACAGGAACATAGACTTGGGAACTGTGACCATATATCTGTGCCTGTTCATGAAGAAATGCTTTCCAGTCTTTTCTACTAGAATATATTAATTGCACATGATAGTGAGTTTCACTATGATATCTTCATGCATTCATATAATGTATGCTGATCATATTCACCCTTATTCCTCTCTTATGCCCATTCTGGATGGTCCCCTTCCCCTTTCCAACTAGTCCCAGAAGGAGACCCCCCCCCAGGACAGGAGGGGCTGCCTCCCAGACCTTGGATTAGGCACAAACCACACCCAAACACCTGTTTCCACAGAGAGATCCTTCATGAAGCAGGGAAAGAAAATTAAAATGGCTGCTTTCTGACTGGGGTGTAAATTTTCAGAAGAGAAAAGGGGGAGTCTGTGTTAAAATGGGATCTGCTAGGATGCAGTAGCTTATTTTGATTGGTCATGTCAATCAGGTGACCCAAAGGGGCTTTTGATTGCTGGACTTTGGTACTCACCCTCAGGAATGAGTCTGGCATAAGGAAGTGTCCAAATAAGGGAACAGGTAGTGGTGGCCAGCTTTAGGGATGTAATGGGTTTTAGCAAGGCAGAGGGAATGGGGAGAAGAGCAGGGTCTGCCAGGACCACATCTCGGGTGGGCTAGTGTCCCTTCACCCCCCCTTCTACCTGCACGTGTATGTGTGTCCCGACGGGTTGCTTACAGGAGCATAGGCAATTTACCAGTGGCTACGTCACTGAAGAACATGTCCCTCTCTCCTTCAGTAAATACTAACTTCCATTAGTTCAGAAAAGAATGAGGCTTTCTGAGCCTGTGACGATCATATCCACCCCCAATTCCTCCTCCGCTCCCCCAGACCTCCCAATGCCTAGCCCTCCCCACTTCATGTCTTCTCTTGTTTTATTTTGTTTTGTAACCCATCCGGTTAGTGCTGCCTACTGGAATTTTGACGGATATTCTTGGCCTGATCTTGTGCAGGTAACACCATAGGTGCAGGAAGTTGATGAATCTAACAGCCGCATCATGTCCAGAAGACAACATTTCATATCATTCCCTCCTCCTTCACATCCCACCCCCTCTTCCACAATGTTTCCTGAGCTTTGAGGAGGCTCCTGGTTCTTTAAAAAGTGTGTGTATCAAGAGGGGGAGTAGGGGGTTGGGGGGGACCCCGGGGATGACTGAAGATCTAACCCAGTATCTCCCATGTACTAGGCAAGCACGTTACCACTGAGCTACAACTCCAGCTGTTTGTTTCATTCTTACTATCTCAAAAAACACACACACAAGGTGACAATTGCATATGTGTGCTGACATACAGTGTGCTGATATATCTGTGTGCAGATTAAATGCTTACACACACACAAATGGGGCGATCAAATTAAACTCAGAACTTTGGAACTTGGTTCCGTTGCTTCTCTAAAGAGGAGCTGACACCCTGTGACAAAGGGTGCATCACCCATAAGCGTGAGATTGCAGATCTAGCAAGTGATAGTCCTGGATGTGAGCTTGCTCATCTGAACCAGTTTTTTGATGATGCATAAGTCTTCCAGGTGGGGCTAGGAATGGAGCTCGGTTGGTAGAGGACAAAGTTATGGGTTCTAAACCCAGAACCATATAAACCAAGCATGGTGGCCTACACATGTAATCCTAGCAACTTCTAGAGGCAGGAGGATCAGAATTCAAGTCCATACTTGGCTACATAGCTGGTTAGTGGCCAGGCTAGGACCCTAATGACCCTGTATATATATATGACCCTAATGACCATATATATATATATATATATATATATATATATATATATATATATATGAGATAAGGTAAGGGTAAGGTAAGTGTGAGGATGATTGACAGGAGCAGGAATGGGAAGTGCTTGACAGCAACAGACACAGCGGATGGCAGGGGCGGGAAGTGGACGGCAGGAGCCGGAAATGACCAATGACCAGAAGTGCTTACAGAAGCAGGAAGAGGCAGTGCCAGACTTCCTAGGGAGGTCAAACTTGAATGAAAATGAGGACATGACTGCTCCAAGGTTGAGAAGCATTTTACTGTAGATATGAGAGAGAGTACAGACAGAGGCCTCTGGAAGAGTCCAGAGCAGGAAGAGAAAGTAGTAGACTAGACTTGACCAGTAGACTGAAACAGGACATGAGAGGAGAGAGAAACAGGAAGAGCAAGAGAGGAGAAGAGAAGAGAAGAGGAGAGGAGAGGAGAGGAGAGGAGAGGAGAGGAGAGGAAGGGAGGGGAGGGAAGGGGAGGGGAGGGAGGGAATCAGACCAAGAGAGCCAAGAGTGAGTCAAAAGAGAGGGTAGGAATCTGAAGCTGGGGGAAGGGAAATGAAGTCCCTGGGCTGGAGAGGTTTAAGGTAGGGGTGAGGTGAGAGGAACGGGGAGGAGCCAAGGGTGCTGAGAGAGTTGGCAGCCAGAGTGTGCTTTGGTGTGCTAATAGGCACCTCAGTTAACCGGTTTGGGACCTAACACTGAGTTTCTTTGAGACCTAACAAAACTAAGCCATCCCTCTTTGATGGATTTCTCAGGTCACAAGCCAAGATTACAGTGAGAAAAGTCTTTTTCTCTCTCTACTGAGCAATATCTCCAGTCTTTTTCATTTGAAACACCTTGTGAAATCCTCCTGCTGTAGCCTTCTGAGTAACTGGGGTTACAAACCTGCATCCCCAGGACCAACCCTAACATCTGACAGTTACAGGTGGACAAGGACGGCCAGACACTCTATGTAGGACTTGGGGACCTTCCTTTCTTTCCTTTCCTTCCTCCTGCCTCCTTCTTAACAGCTTTCTTGAAAAGTCATTCTCTGGGCTAGTGAGGTGGCTTGTCAAGGAAAGATGCTCTCTACCAAGGCTGACAACCTCCGTTCAACCCCGGGACCCACATCCTGGAAGGAGAGAACTGGCTCCTGAAAGCTCTCCTCCGACCTCCACATATGTGCCATGACACTCACCAAAAGTATACAAATTAATTAATGGCTTTGGGAGTATTAACGGGTATACATCTATTGCCATAATCCATTTATTCGTTGTTGTGTTAAACCTGAGAATTACGAGAAGAAATAAGCCCACGATTGTCTGTGCCAGGTTTCAACCCAGCAACAAATGACTGAGGTGCCTATTTAACACAACAAAGTGGACCTGGCCACCAGGTTCTCCCTGCATCCTTCAGCCCCTACCTGTTACAAGGTCCTCCTGGCTGGCATACCCCACCCCCTACCCAGGACTCTCCAGGCCAGGGGGCTGGGCCGCTCTTCCCTATATAATCAACCATTTCAGTTACCTGCCCTCTTTGGACCTTTGGGCCTCCTGGCTACTGTATCTGGTTTGCTTCTCTCCTCTCCCCCTTCCCCTCCACCCTCTCCTCCTCACATGGCAGAGTTCAGTCTGGTCATGTCCACCCTGGACTCTCCCAGATGTCCCTGCCTCTGCCTCTGGCTATGCTCGCCACGTAGCTACAATAAACCTTCTCCGTCATACATAGGAGCAGTCATGTTTCCTTTCTTTTCCTTTTTATTTCTTTCTTTTTTCATTCAGTCGTATTAAAGCAAGCTGTATTTTGGGGTGCACCGGGGATTGGCTAGTCCAGCTGCTTCTCCCTAAATCAAGATTTTAGAGAGCAACCCTTGCCTGTCTCTTGAAGTAACTTTTATGGGAGAGATAAGGTGTTCACAGGGGCGAGAGTGGCCGTTACCATTGTTAGAAAGATACAATGAAAGGGAAGGAAAGGGGAAGAATATACATCATGTGAATGGGGTCACAAGTTTAGTGTAGGTTTACAAAACACGTTTTGCAGTTTACATCAGATCTAAGAAACAGGAACTTATTCTTAATTATAAATAGAAACTTTAACTTGCAAGGACTTAAACAAACACAGGGCAAACAGGAACTTATTCTTTAACTACAAACAGAAACCTTAAGCTGCAAAGGACAAACTTATTCTTAACTATCTTAAGTGCAAACAGAACCCTTAACCTGCAATGTATATTTTCCTGTTTGGTTTCACATTAACTTTCTAGGTATACTGCTGCTGTTTTAGTCTCAGAGTGGTTTGAAGCTGGGTGTCATTATGCAACTCCGACTGACCTGGAGCATTCTATAGTCCAAGTTGACCTTGAATTTGAGATCTTTCTTACTCAGCTTCCTGAGTGCTGGGTTTACAGATGTGTGTCTCAAAGGAAGTGGATGTTTCTTGAGAATGGCAAGGGAGTTGTCCTCTGGCCTACACACTCATGTATACACACACACATGCACCTGCAGATACACACGGTTTTTAAAAATGGCCTTGAGGTGGCAAGATGGCTCAGTGGGAAGCGCTTGTTGCACAATTCTAACAACTTGTGTGAGATCCCTAGAATCCACGTGAAGGTGGAAGAAGAGCACTGACTCCAGGAAGTTGTCCTCTGCCTATGAATTCCCTCCACACAACAATAAATGCATACAAACTTAAATGGCCTTATAGCCGCTGGGCATGATGGCACCTCTGGCAGCAGAGATAAGTATCAGTGCCAGTTCAAGGTCAGCCTGATCAAGAAGCTCTAGGCCCCTGGGTGTGTATTGCAAGATCTATCTCAAACAAAGAAATAAAAACCCAAAGCTGGTAGCTATAAAAATGAAGACACACAGAAAGAGTGCTGTGTGTCTACTCAGGCAGGGACCCAAGCGTAGCAGCTGCCAGCTAAGGAACCCCGAGACCGAAAGTATGGAGAGGCAAGGCAGAATGCCCAGAATCCTGGGTTTCAGAAGTAATATGGCCTCCCTGACACCGTTATCGATCCAATAAATTCCTGCAGCTTTAAACCACCTTGTGAGAGGCACTCTGTTCCAGGAGCCCTTAGGAAATGTGTACATCCTACAACAAATAGAGCAGCATACTGTTTACTGAGGATTGGGGCCTGGATGGTCGCGTGAGAACTGGGGCAGGTGGTAAGAGTGCTGACTCAACAATATTAGGAGGCTATGAGGACTAGTCTCGGTTGTTGACACACGTGGAAAAAGAGAACTTCAGTCAAGAACTGCCTCCCATCGGATTGGCCTGTGGGGGCATCTTCTTGACTGCTGATTGATGGGGAGTGTCCAGCCCACTGTGGGATGTGCTACCCTTGAGCAGGTGAGCCCGGACTGTAAAAGAGAGAGCTGGGTTCAGGGTGGTAGCATCAGAAGGAAGATGTGAATTCAAGGCAGTCTGATCTATACAAGTTCCAGGACAGCCAGGGCCACATTTCAACATTTCAAAAAGGAGGAAGGGAGGGAGGGGGGGAAGGAGGGAGGGAGGGA